ATCTTCCTGCCTCTCTGGGGTGCTGCAGCCCACAGGATCCAATTGTGTATATGTCTCCCCAGCTCCCCATTCAGTGATATCACGTCAGTAGCTTGAAATTATCCGTGGTAGGCGTATTATGTCATGGAAATTGGCAAATGGAAACTTTTCTTGGAGATTCAATTGTTAAACATTTACCAGCGCACCACTGCTCTGCCTTCGGGGTCAATGACCCCATCCAAGTTTAATCCATCTGTCCACTGTCTCCAACATGATCTTAATAAAATACACCTGACAACATTACCCTCTTATTAAGTTTTTTAAAAGGTAAGTTTCCAGCTCATTGGGGTGGCATTAAAGGCCATTCCTTCTCTGGACCTCACCCAACTTTTCAAATCACTTTTCCTACCCCTACCTCTAAATGCCATTCAAACTCCAGCCGTCCTGAATAATAAGATTTTTAAAAAGTAGATTATGGGTAGGGCACAGTGGCTCATGCCCATAATCCCAGCACTTTGGGAGGCCAAGATGGGTGGATCACCTGAGGTCGGGAGTTCGAGACCAGCATGACCAATGTGGTGAATCCCTGTCTCCACTAAAAATACAAATTAGCGGGGAGATGGTGGCACATGTCTGTAATCCCAGCTATGTGGGAGGTTGAGGCAGGAGAATTGCTTGAACCCGGAGGCGGAGGTTGCAGGGAGCTGAGATTGCTCCATTGCACTCCAGCCTGGGCAACAAGAGCGAAACTCCATCTCAAAAAAAAAAAAACAAAACAAAACAGTAGATTACATCAGATACCTCTGGCCTAGGTTGTTTATGACCACCTCTACTGCTATGAATAACTAGAAAAGCTAGACAAAACATATTTCCAAAAGATCTCTTTGGAGGCATCAGAGAATGGCCAAGGCTGTAAGGAACTGTCTGAGCCCAGTGAGGTGGAGCCCAGCACTGGCGCCCTTTACTCTTGGGCACATGTGCTGGTTTCAAAAACTTCAGCTGAGATTTTGAGCATTCACGGAACTTGGTGGGGGAGATAAAATTTGTACCTTATATCCTACCTACAAGGAGGGTCCCTGATAATCCCCACCCAATTTGGAAATCTGGGTCAGCCTTCACAGGTACTGAAGCCCTCCTCTGAATGATCTCAAGTCCTGCTAGGGTAGAGGTTACCTGCTTTTGAAAGGCTCCTGGCCTACCTGACCTGTCCAGCGGCAGCAAAAGTGAACCATCTCAGGGTACAGATAACAATCATCCAGAGCCTTGAATGGCCTCTACAGTGTTTAATATATAGTATTCAGCAGTCATCAAAAAGGAATGAGGCACATGCAAGAAGACCTGTGTATCAGGGAGAAACAGGCAATAAATGGAGATCCAGCAGGGATTCAAATCATGGATTTGAATCGGGGCAGACTTTGAAAGAACTATGGAGAATATACTCAAAGACTTAAAACACAAGATTGGAATTTTTGGCAGAGAACTAACAACTACACAAAAAAGGAACCAAATGGAAATCCTAGAACTGAAAGATGCAATTAACCAATGTTGAGAAATAGCCAACACCTATTGAACACTTCCCACGTGGGTGGCTGTGCTAAACGCTTTACAAGCATCAACACAAGATGTGTCTCCTTGCAGGAGTGCAGTGTCCCTCCTAAGACATGGACAACCTGGTTTCCCTATCTCTCTGCTTCACCAAAACCCCTTTACATGGGGCTTAGACGCTCCTGTTGTCTCTAGTGTCTGGTAGCACAGGGCTCAGCACATAGAAGGCACTAGATACAATTGTGATGACCAGGAACTCCGGTGAAAGCTGTGGGTGCTGACTGGGAAGGCATAGTCCTTTATGTGCTGTAGTCTTAAAGCTTCATCTAGGAAGCAGAACTGGGGGGGTGCTGAGGACCCAGAACCGAGAATAAGATTAGTCAGAGATTTCCTGTGGGCAGAAATCATAAGGACGCCAACTGTTTGGGTGAGATAACATGAAACCAAGAGTGGACTTGTGGCCAGAAGCGTGAGGAAGAGGGAGAGAGCTTCCCCTGTCCCCTTTCTTCCTCTCCCTAAGCCACAGTGATTGACAGCCCCCTCCTTTGGAGTCAGAGCAGGCTGGAGACTGGACTGGGAAAGGAGGATGGGTCAGGATACAGAGCAGGAAGGCTGGGAGTGCACGGCAGGACCAAGGGGCTGGGGCGTTCACTGGGCCTGATCTCTCCCACTTTACCCGGGGTAAAGAAGCGTACACAAAAGCCACGGTGTGAGTATTCCCCAAGTGCCAGGGTCAAGGCATGATTCATCACGTGCAGCATTTCATTCAATCTGTATAGTAACTGATGACGTGGCTTCTATTATTAACTCTATCAGATAATGAAACTGAGACCAAGACAGTCTCTGTACATTGTGTGGGGGTGGCCGAGCTCGGAAATGACACAGGGGGATTCAGACCTAGACTCCATAACTCCTGCCCCAGGGACCACCCCCATCCTCACCCTCTGCATATCGAGAAAGGGCAGGCTGGGCCACTTCTCAGGACACAGTGGGGAAATGACACAGAGCAGGGAGGTTACAGGAGCCCTGAGCATCTTTTCTCCAGGAGAATACTCTTTCAATGCAGACTGGGGTCAGAGAAACATTTACCTAGGAGCCACACTGTGGGTGGGGCTTTTACTTGAAATGCCGTCTGAGGGCAGTGGCCAGGATGGAACTCTCCACCATACCTTGGCAAGCCACTTCTCTTCCGCAATCTGTAAGGACATTTTTTGAGCGAATTACGGCTTTCCAATTCCAGAGGACTGAAGACAGACAGATAGGAGAGAACCTATCCCAGTCAGGTGCTAGCTGCCTTCTCTTTCAGAGGGTGTGATGATAAAGTGATACACTTGATGATTGACAAATGCTTCGGAAATTTTCAACCCTAATATTCAACACACTCTGGAAGTGGCAAATAAGTAGACAGGTTCATGTACATCACCTCCTTCAGCTAGTCCTCACAAAAACAATCAGATGAACAAAACAAAATGCTTCTTTGGCCCTCAAAGGAAGACACTATTTCTCGAACATATGTCAAAAAGGATGGGTGACTCACTCAAGGTCACACAGCTTGTGAGGACCGTACAGGAATACAGACATGCCATTTTGCCTAAAAAACCCATCACCCAGGGAGTTGACACAATTTTGCAGAAATGTTCTATTTTCTCTGAAGGATGCATTCTTTAAACCTTTGGGAAATTCATTCATAGCCTTCCACCTTTGCAGGATTAACTCTTTGGACACAAAGTGTTTGATTCTGATTTATTGGTTGGAAGATTTGTTGGTTGAGAGAAAGATTCTGATTTGTTGGTTGAAAATAGTCAGACTCATCGAGATCAACTGCTGTAGTAGTAAACATTTTGACATTTTGTCTGTATTCTTGTACTGTCCTCACAAGCTGCATGACCTTGAGTGAGTCACTCATAGTTTTTGTTTTTGCTCTTGTTTTGGAGATGGAGTCTTACTCTGTTACCTAGGATCATGTTGTTGGAGTGCAATGGCATGATCTTGGCTCACTGCAACCTCCACCTCCTGGGTTCAAGTGATTCTCCTGCCTCAGCCTCCCGAGTAGATGGGATTGCAGGTGCACGCCACCACCCCCTGCTAATTTTTGCATTTTTAGTAGAGATGGAGTTTCACCATGTTGGCCAGGTTGGTCTTGAACTCCTGACCTCAGGTGATCCACCCACCTCGTCCTTCCAAAGTGCTGGGATTACAGGCGTGAGCCACCGTGCCCAGCCCACCCATTCTTTTTGAAACATGTTTGAGAAATAGTGTCTTCCTTTGAGGGCCAAGGAGACATTTTGTTAGTTCATTTGTTTGTTTTTGTGAGGACTAGCTGAAGGAGGTGATGTATATTAACCTGCCTACTTATTTGCCACTTCCCAAAGTGTGTTAAGTATTAGAGTTTAAAGTTTCTGAAGCATTTGTTAATAATCAAGTGCCCGGGGCTGGAGGTCAGAAGACCTGGATTTCTCTGCACGCCTTTGCCATCAGCAAGCTGTGTGACCTTGGACAGATCGCTTTTTTGTCTGAGTCTTTTCTGAGTCTTCTTGAAAATAATGCCAGGTTGGGACAGGATGATTGCCAAGCTCCCGTCCAGCTCTAAAACATTGCAACCTATACTTCTGCGCCAGCACTGTCCATCCCGTAGATCATGCAGAAATTCTCTTCAACTTTTTCCTACCCATAAAATAGGAGCATGCTTACCTTTTTCCTGTCTAGAATATTGTAAGGAAGGAAGTTAATGTGCATCAGAACCCATTATGGGCCAGAAGTTCTCCTCTTCCTCCCTACACTTGCTTCCTCTCTCCCTCCCTCCCTCTTTCCCTTCCTTCCTTCCATCCATCTGTGAAAAAGACACGACCACCCTCATTCTGAGAGTGAAGAAACAGAGGCTCAACTAATGAAATGATTTGTTCGAGGTCACACGGGTGGCACATGGCAAGTGGCAGAGGTTGAATTTAGACCCATTCCTGTCCAAATGCTGAGTTTATGTCATCGTCCCAAGACCATAACTTTAAAGACGTAAGATAGTGGGAAAATAGTTGATTTTAAAGCACCTCTCAGGAGGACTCACTTTACATCAGGGGTCAGCAGATGCAGGCCAAATCCGGTCCATCCCCTGCTTTTGCAAATACAGTTGTATTGGAACACAGCTAGGCTTGTTGATTTATGGATTGCCAATGTCCTTTTGTGAAACAGACAACTGAGCTGAGTAATCGTGGCCCACAGAACCTAAAATATTTACTCTCTCGTCCTTTACAGAATGTTTGCCAATCTATGGTCTGGAGTCCAAGGCTGTCCATCCTTCAAAGAACACAAAGTGACATGAGACTGTCCCATGTGCAGGGAGCCCTTTCATTTTATTATGAAAAAAGGGCCTTTCTGCTCAAATCTGTTTTTTAAAAAGTCAACAAACAGACTCCGGGTACCTGTCAGGCACAGTAGGGAGTTTGGTTTCCATTGTGCTCTTCTTCCCAGGAACTCAATGAAGGGGAAATAGAAATCTCAATTTTGGGGAAATTGCACAGGGGAAAAAGGGGAGGGAATCAGTTACAACACTCCATTGCGACACTTAGCGGGGTTGAAAGTGACAACAGCAAGGGTTTCTCTTTTTGGAAATGTGAGGAGGGTATTTCCGCTTCTCAGAGTGGGGCAGGGTGGCAGACGCCTAGCTTGGGTGAGTGACTATTTCTTTATAAACCGCAACTCTGGGCCCACAATGGCAGTCCACTGTCTTGCTGCAGTCACAGAATGGAAATCTGCAGGGGCCTCGGCAGTCACCTAATCTGTCTCCTCCTCTTCCTGTTCCATTCAGAGACCGTCGGCCGGCCCTCTGGGAGAAAACCCAGCAAGATGCAAGCCTTCAGGTAAGCCTACCCCAAGGAGGAGGAGGTGAGGGTGGATTAGCTGGAGACTGGAAACATATCACAGCTGCTGGGGGCTGCCAGGCCCTACAGGGCCTGAGAACTGGGTTTGGGCTGGAGAGGATGTCCATTATTCAAGAAAGAGGCTGTTACGTGCATGGGCTTCAGGACTTGTATTTCAAAATATCGCAGATGTGGATGGTACGACCGGAGGGCTGTCTTACTTTCCCAGAGACTCAGCAACCCAGTGAGTAATAGATGCATGCCAAGGAGTGCGGCTGCGATTCAGGCCCAGCTGAATGTGCTGACAGAGAAGCAGAGAGGGGCACCAGGGCACAGCCTGAAGGCCCAGACTGATACGAGCAATGCCTGTCTGTGCTGACACGTCAGAGGGTCCCACTCTCCAGGGGCCTTGGTTTCCCCACCTGTGACATCTGTGACATGAGATTCACGATAATTCCTTGTGTGCCTTACCGGGTTGTTGTGAAAGTTAAATGCACAGATAATAGCATAACAGGATTCTGTGCATTGTAAAATGCCTGAAAATCACTGTGATTTGAAAATGGAATCAGGGCTTTGTGAGACCGTCCCTATTGTAAAGATGTGATGCTGACAGAAATGACAGGACTGCTTGTACATGCCCTCTGCTGCGTGACATTCCAGCAGTGAAATCATGTTCGGGTGACTTCTCCCCCAATCTGACCTTTATGTTTGTCTGGGTTGAGGCTGCAAGTCAGGTTCTGTGGGCATATGAGTGACAAGTCTCTCCCTTCCAGATATGGGGACTGTCTGCTTCCCCAGGTTGCCTCTGCCTGCTCTGATCAGCTAGAAGCTCCAGGAGATCCCCCTGGAGGCCCCAGCAGGCAATGTCTAATCCCTCCAGATTGAGGCTAAATCTAGAAACTAGGATAATCACAAACAGGCCAATGCTGCCATATGCAAAGCACTTTGGTTTGCCCGGCCACTCCTCGTTGAGCGTGTGGGCTCTTCAGAGCCACCTGATGAGGAGGGTAGAGTTAGCCACACTTCACAGGTGAGGATATGAGGCACAGGTCCCAGGACATGCTGGCTGGGGCTCTGTTTATTACATCTCACAGCTTTGAGTCCTGCTCTCAACCAGAGAGGCTCTTTACCAAGAAGAAAGGATTGGGACCCAGAAGCAAGCCACTGGCTGAGGTAGGGAGGAAGCCTGCTTGTTCCCAAGGGCAGCTGCTCCTGCAGGACTCTGAGCAGGTCACCAGCTAATGGAGGAAAGGCTCTGGGGACAGACCTTCCTGGTCTAAGGCTCAGAGTGAGTTAGCTGCAAGGTGTTCTGTCTCTTGAAACTTCTAACTAGGTGCTGTGGTAGCCACTAGTCTCAGGTGGCTATTTAAATGTATACTTAATTGAATGAAAAGAGAAGAAAATTTAAAATCGAGACCCTTGGTTACACTATCCACATTGCAAGAGCTCAACAGCCACACGTGGTTAGCAGCCACCCTATTGGGCAGTGCAGCTATAGAACATTTTTGCATCCCAGAAAGTTTGTTTGGATGTTGCTGCTCTGCAGTGTGCTTTGCTGAAACAGAAGTGCCTGCCCTGGGAATCTAAGATGGGAAGCAAGCGAGGAGGGGAGTCAAATGTGGGCTCACAGCTCACCAGCTGTGAGGGTTGGGCCTGCCTCTTAACCAGTGTCAGCCTCAGTCTTCTCATCCATGCATGCCATGGGTATACTAATATACCATACCCCGGGAAGAGCTGGATGCAAATTTAACAAGTTCTGGGGGACACGGGAAGATGCTAAGCACAAGGCTGGGCCCATGGCAGCTGTGCACTACAGCTGAGTCCTTTTCCTTTTCAGAATCTGGGATGTTAACCAGAAGACCTTCTACCTGAGGAACAACCAACTAGTGGCTGGATACTTGCAAGGACCAAATGTCAATTTAGAAGGTGAGCGCTTGCCAGGAAAGCCAATGTGTGTGGGCGCTGGGTCACCTTGCCCCTCTGTCTGCAGCAGCATGGCCTGCCTGCACAAACACTAGGTGCAACGTCCTAATCCTTATTGGGTGTTTGTACTCAAGTTTGAACCTGGGAGGGCCTGGCTACTAAAGGGCACATATGAGGGCAGCCTGAAGAGGGCATGGAGAGGTAGAGTCTAGGTCAGGGGTCAGTGACTATAGGCACAGTGATCCCAGGGCCACAGCTGGGAAGGGCAAATACCAGAAGGCAAGGTTGACAGTTCCCTTCCTCCAGTGCCTATTAAGCCTCCATGTTCCTATGTTGTTCAAACCCTAACTCAATCCCAAATTAATCCACCATGTATAAGGCTGGGCTATGTCTCTTATTCCTGGACACTATACTCAGCCATATTCTGGTCCATGTATTAAACAAGATGGATGAACTTGAAGAAGCTTCACCCACTGTTCCTCAGCTTTCCCTTCAGTGGGATGATGTCAGTTGGATGACGGGAAGTGCGATTCTTTTAGTTCCAACCTTCTAGGATGTTTTCACTCCCCTGTTTGGTGTTGTAGGATGGTATTACCTCCACCTTCCCACTTTCCCTATTCCCTCGTTCTGTCTCCCCCGCCTCACTCTGAAAGTGGATGAGACCCACCTTTCCTGTCCTGGTAGTTCTCCTAATGAACACACTGAAGCACAAGGAGGCTGAGATTTTTGTTGCTACATGAGAGCATGGAGGCCTTTTAGGGAAAGAGGAGGTTCAGAGACCCCCAGGCTGCTGTGGAGCCCCACTCATGGCCTTGCGCCATTTTCCCTGCCCCTCAGCAACACACCTATTGACCTGGAGCACGGGTATCCTGGGGAAAGTGAGGAAAAGATGGAAATCATGTGGAACAACATCCAGGAGACTCAGGCCTCTAGGAGTAACTGGATAGTGTGCTTGGTTTAATCTTCTGTTTAGATGCAGACCAGGAAGATGAGACCTCTCTGCCCTTCTGACCTTGGGATTTTAGTTTTGTGGGACCAGGGGAGACAGAAAAATACCCAGGGTCTCTTCATTATTGCTGCCTCCTCTTCTATTAACCTGACCCTCCCCTCTGCTCTTCCCCAGAAAAGATAGATGTGGTACCCATTGAGCCTCATGCTCTGTTCTTGGGAATCCATGGAGGGAAGATGTGCCTGTCCTGTGTCAAGTCTGGTGATGAGACCAGACTCCAGCTGGAGGTAAAAACCTGTTTTGGATATCAAATCACCCCAAAATCCAGTGGCTTGAAAAACCAAAATTTATTCTTACGATTCTATGGCTTGAACAGGATTAGCTGGGTAGTTAGTTCTGTTCTACGTGGTGGAACACACTGGGCTCACTTTGGCAGTTGCATTCAGCAGAGTGCCTGGCTTGCGCTGGGCATCTGAGATGGTCCCTCATTCTCCAGGCTCTCTTTGCCTGTGATCTCTCAGTGTTTAAGAGTCAGCTTGAGCTTCCTTACAGCATGGCGGCTGACTTCAAAAGGGATTATTCCAAAAAGACAAGTCTCAACATGCAGGTGCTTATTATAACTTCTGCTTACATCATCCTATTGGCCAAAGCCACTCACGTGGCTAAGTCTAGCCCCTTGTGAGAGGGGACTGCATAGGAATCTGCGCCAGGAGGCACAGGCACTGGAGCCCACCACTCTAATGGTCTCCCACAGGACCCGAATCTCTGTGTGCTACTCCCTTGCTCAAAGGCCACCAACCCATTCGGATCTGCCCTCTTCTAGCAAAGCCCATCCTCAGGACCTTTCTCTTCCAATCCTTATCGACTCATATTGATTAGTTGGTGCCCCACCCAGAGCCCTGTGCTCCTTGATCTCATGTAATTTTAGTGGGTTTCCCAGCCCTGGGAAAACATGGCTTTGTCTCAGGGGCTTGCTGGATGCAACCTTAACCTCAATGTGAGTGGCCATACTGTGGCACTATCACATCCCTTACCAGTAGACAGGGACACTGTTCTGGAGAGTGACTGCCTGTTCTGTGAGGAGTGGGGATGGCTAGGATATTGCATGGAACACACCACCACCTCATCTCCTCAGAGCTCAAACCCTGACAGAACACCAGCTCTACAGGCCTTGGCTTCTGCTGATGGTGCTGTGTATTTATGAGACTTACTGGTCCGAGGCCAGAGTGGCCAGATTTCCCAAAATCAAGGTGTGACAGTGGGACAGCCTCTTTGTGTCTTTGCTGTCCTAAGAAACCTGGACCAGGCCAGGTGCGGTGGCTCACGCCTGTAATCCCAGCACTTTGAGAGGCCGAGGTGGGCAGATCACGAGGTCAGGAGTTTGAGACCAGCCTGGCCAACATGGTGAAACACTGTCTCTACTAAAAATACAAAACATTAGATGAGTGTGGTGGTCCATGCCTGTAATCCCAGCTACTCGGGAGGCTGAGGCAGGAGAATCGAACCTAGGAGGTGGAGGTTGCAGTGAGCTGAGATTGCACTACTGCACTCCAGCCTGGGGGACAGAGCAAGACTCCGTCTGGGGAAAATAAATAAATAAATAAATAAATAAATAAATAAATAAACCTGGGTCCCAGAGTCCCACAAAGTGGCAGACAAGAGCCCCTGGGGGCTTTTACTGTACAGCATTTCCCCTGTACTAACTCTGGGCTGTCCAGAGGGCCATGTCATGGTGTGGAGTGGAAAGGGAGGCAGCACAGGACTTCCTAGGCCTCAGTTCTCACCTACCCATCTTTTGATTTCCAGGCAGTTAACATCACTGACCTGAGCAAGAACAGAAAACAGGACAAGCGCTTCGCCTTCGTCCGCTCAGACAGCGGCCCCACCACCAGTTTCGAGTCTGCCGCCTGCCCGGGCTGGTTCCTCTGCACAGCAATGGAAGCAGACCAGCCCGTCAGTCTCACCAATATGCCTGACAAGGGTGTCATGGTCACCAAATTCTACTTCCAGGAGGATGAGTAGTACTGCCCAGGCCTGCCTGTTCCCATTCTGGCATGGCAAGGACTGCAGGGACTGCCAGTCCCCCTGCCCCAGGGCTCCCGACTATGGGGGCACTGAGGACAAGCCATTGAGGGGTGGATCCTCAGAAGGAGTCACAAGAACCTGGTCACAGGATTCTGCCTCCTCTTCAACTGACCAGCCTCCATGCTGCCTCCAGAATGGTCTTTCTAATGTGTGAATCAGAGCACAGCAGCCCCTGCGCAAAGCCCTTCCGCGTCTCCTCTGCATTCGGGATCAAACCCCGACCACCTGCCCAGCCTGCTCTCCTCTCCCCACTGCCTCCTCCATCCTCATTCCACGTTCCCATGCCCCAGATACATCAGGCCCCTTGATGACCCCCCACCAAGTGGCTCCCACACCCTGTTTTACAAACAAATGCCAGTCCGTGAGGAAGGTTTTTAAGAGTTTGTGGAGAATGAAAATTAAGGATTTCCTGATTTCTTTTTTAGTCCACGTGAAGGAGAGCACTTCATTTGGAGATTATGTTCTTTTGGGAGAGGCTGGGGGCTTAAAATAGTCCTGCATTTGTGAAATGATGGTGAAAGTAAATGGTAGCTTTCCCATTTTTTTCTTCTTTTTTGTGATGTCCCAATTTGTAAAAATTAAAAGTTATGGTACTATGTTGGTCCTATAATTTTTTTTTTTCCTTTTAAAACACTTCCATAATCTGGACTGTTCCATAAGCAGTCCAGGCACTGCTGCCCAGGCTCCGAGCTCCATCTCCACTCCAGATTTTTTACAGCTACCTGCAGTACTTTACCTCCTATCAGAAGTTTCTCAGCTCCTAAGGCTCCGAGCAAATGTGGCTCCTGGGGGTTCCTTCCTCCTCTGCTGAAGGAAAGAATTGCTCCTTGACATTGTAGAGTTTCCGGCACTTGGAGACGTGTATGAAAGATGACTGCGCCTCGGCCTGTCTCCCCCACCAGGCTGGGAGCTCTTCAGAGCAGGAAAAAAGACTCGTATATGCAGGGCCGAGCACCTAGCCTGGCTCGGCAGGTACTCAGCGAATGAGTGCTGTATATGTTGGCTGCAAAGATCCCTACTTCCTGTCACTTCAGCTCTGTTTTACAATAAAATATTGAAAATGCCTATATTGTTGACTATGTCCTTGGTCTTGACAGGCTTTGAGTATAGAGTGCTGGGGAAATTGAAAGACCAAGGTGTCTTTTGCACCCCAGAGGCTGGGGCCTGGCTGCCTCTTCTCTGAGAGTTCCTTTCTTCCTTCAGTCTTCCTCTCCCTGGATAATATGAGAGCAAATCTGTCTGCAAAAAAGATGCGGGGCAGCACTGTCCACAATAGCCTCTACTGGAAACAACCCAAGCACCCATCACAGAATGAATTCGTACATCATCTATCTGCACACAACACAATGCTCCTTGGCAAAGAAAATGAATGAATTACAACCAGCTGCACCTCACAAGACAGATGAACCTTACAAACATATTGTGGGTACAAGAATCACAAAAGCATGCATACAGTGTGATTCCATTTATACAAAGTTCAAAATGGGCAACATGGGGCTGTTGTGTGGAGGGCTGTGGGAACTGGTGATGCAGAGAGAAGCAAGGCCATGCTCTCTCTGAAGGCCCAGTGAAATTTGGCCCCTGGGAGACACAGTGGCGGGCAGCAGCACCTGGGGGCTTTTAGGGTTCAGATAGCATTCTATTTCTTGGCATGGATGTAATTACACAGTTTTCTGCATGTATATTTTATTTCACAATACCTAGAAAATAAAAAGACTTGCCCCCCTACAACCAGGGTCTAAGGAAAGGAGCATCTGGGAGATTATGAGATTAGTGGATGGAGTATTGAATTTGGCCCCATAGGTGGGAGTGCAAGACCATGAGTGACCACTTATCAAACACACCTCAGTAAACAGTCAGACGAGTGAGGAGTGTGGTCCTTTCACCTGCCCAGGTTGTTTCTGTTAGATTCTGGGCTTGGTCTCTGGAGTCTAAGAAGTCATGCACTTGCTGTCTGATTTTGGCCAAGTCACCTCCCTTTTTGGGGCCTGTTCCTCATTTATTTGAGGGGAGTGTTGACTTGGATGGGGATTTTCCAAACAGAGCTCCTTGGACCCTTCTCTCTGAGGTCTCTGGAAATGGGAAGCCCTGCAGAGGGAAGGATAAATGGGCGAGGATTCATCCATTGAACCCTGTTCCCAACAGAGCCCTCTTCTTTACAACTTGGACCTCCCATGGGACTTTGTTTGAAAGGGAGACTTCATTGCTAAAAGCAAACTAAACTAAGTAGGCTAAAAGGCAACAAACTGGAGAAAACATTCAAGGTCTTCTCTAGAGCTAGGATCCTATGACGTTAATGAGGTCACCCAACATCTCTGAATTTTCTCTTCCTTGTATGTACAACGGGAGTAGCTGGCAGGGTGCGGTGGTTCACGCCTGTAATCCCAGCACTTTGGAAGGCTGAGGTGGGTGGATCACCTGAGGTCAGGAGTTTGAGAACAGACTGACCAACATGCTGAAACCCCGTCTCTACTAAAAATACAAAAATTAGCCAGGCGTGGTGGCAGGTGCCTGTAGTCCCAGATACTTGAGAGGCTGAAGTGGAAGAATCATGTGAACCCAGGAGGCAGAGGTTGCAGTGAGCTGAGATCACACCCATGCACTCCAGCCTGGGTGACAGAACTAGACTGTCTCAAAAAAAAAAAAAAAAAAAAAAAAAAAGTGAGTAGCCGCACCCGTACCACATGGACAATACAGGGATGGAATGTAATGACATGCGTGAAGTGCTGTGTGAGTGATAAAAGGGCATGTGTGGTTGATATGTTTTTAATCCTGGTAGAAGGAGGAGGTTCAAGGCAGAAAACTCATCAAGGCTTAATGACAACAATAGCAGCTTATATTTGTGTGGGTCCATATGCAGCCTCCCTTCATGTTACAGAAGGTAAAGCCCAAGGCTAAGACTCTTCTTGCAAACTAGGTCAAGCAGCAAGCTACAGGTTAGAAACAGGCAAGGCAGCAAAAGAGTCACATGGGTGAACTCTGGGACTCTGCAGTCACACTCTGACTCTCCTGCTTGCAATGGGTGCTCATAAGCAAGCTAGCTAACACCTCAGAGCCTTGGTTTTCCCACCACTAAATGCAAATAATAGGCAATGCTGAGTTATTGCAAAGTTACTTCATCTTTGCAGTAGCCTTCTGTGGTGAGTAGCATATTATCATTATTATTAGTCCTGGAAGAGTCAGCTCAAAGGAATCTGCTTTAAAGTCTTATTGCTCCAAGTGTGGTTCATGTATCAGCACCATTAGCATGCTTGTGGAGTTAAAATGCAGATTCTCAGATCTCAGGTTTGACTTCCTGACTTAAAGTCATCATCTTAACCAGACCTCCCATGCACATTAAATTAGAGAAGCACTGTTTTAAAATGCATTGGCTAGGTGTGGTGGCTCATGCCTGTAATCCCAGCACTTTGGGAGGCCAAGGCAGGTGGTTCACCTGAGGTCAGGAGTTCGAGACCAGCCTGACCAACATGGTGAAACCCCGTCCCTATTAAAAATACAAAATTAGCCGGGCATGGTGGTGCATACCTGTAATCCCAGCTACTCGGGAGGCTGAGGCAGGAGAATCACTTGGACCTGGGAGGTGGAGGTTGCAGTGAGCTGAGATCATGCCATTGCACTCCAGCGTGGGCAAGAAGAGCAAAACTCTATCTCAAAATAAATAAAATAAAATAAAATAAAATAGAATACATCAATCATACAGTGCATAAGTTCTGGCATATGCACTAGCATAAAGGGATTCTCCTATTATAAACCTAGCCCATCTCTTTACTCTCTATCCCACTAGCCCACTGATGACAGCAAAAACTCCCCTCTTAACACTTAACACTTCCAACACTTCCTAGCCGGGCATGGTGGCTCACGCCTGTAATCCCAGCACTTTGGGAGGCTGGGGTGGGCAAAGCGCTTGAGGCCAGGAGTTGAAGACTAGCCTGACCAACATGGCAAAACCCTGTCTCTATTGAAAATGCAAAAAAATTAGCTGGGCATGGTGGTACACGCCTCTAATCCCAGTTACTTGGGAGGCTGAGGCACGAGAATCGCTTGAACCTGGAAGGCGATGGTTGCGGTGAGCTGAGATCGTGCCACTGCACCCCAACCTGGGTGATAGTGAGACCTTGTCTCAAACAAACAAACAAACAAACAAACAAATAAAAACACTTCCTTACTTTGGTTTAAAGTGTTCCATAAAATATTCCTAAGAGAAAAAACTTTAAGCCATCATCGTACTACTAGAATGTCGGCTCCATCCATGCAGGTATTTTTGTCTGTTTTGTTCTACAGTGTATCTCAAGTGCCAAGGCCATTGCTTGCGATATACTGGGTGCTCAGTGAATATGTGGCCAGTGAATAAATGAATTGGCCACTGATATAGCAATAGAGATTAATTTATTCGACTGGCCAGCAAATTTGAGAAGACTGGGGACTCGGATCAGGAATGTTGTAAAGGAAGCCTAGAAGAGGGGAAAGGCCCAGAGTGAAGGTTTTTTCAGAGATTTGGGGGTTGATTAAGGAAAAAGACATGACCACGAGGTGGCGGTAGCACACACATGCTTTCTGGGTGATGCTTTAACAGGTTTACACTGGGGAATGTCCTTTACAGCAGGAGTTGGTCAAGGAGGCTATAGTGTGGAGATGGGTTCCTACTCAGAAGAAAAGAAGGGAAGAGGACTCATAGGAAAGAAGAGAATTGGAAAGAGGGCTTACATGGCCAGGTGAAGTCACCCAGCAGCACAGCAGGGAATATCTAGGTCAGAGAGCTCCTATGGGCTACAGTGGCTTGGGGCCTTTATGGCTTGGAGCTTTTCCTTGGCCAGCAGATATTGGGCACAGTTTCATGGAGTACCAGAGCAGGCAGGTTCTAAATGGATTAACAGAGGCTTAGTGGGGCTATGTTCAAAGCAAATGGATATGCAAACATTTGACTTTGGTTGGTGGGGTTTTGCAGGTCTGGTCTCAGCCTACAGTGAAGAAATTAATAATCAAGGGGCCAGCATACAGAGACCATCTTTGGCTCATTTATACAGCACAAAGCAGGGGCCATGGATTAGGAAAGCCAGGACTGGGGTTCATGCTTAAGTGAGGCTTTTGTTCAACTGGGAGGCGGTGCACAGGTGACCGGGAGGTGGAGGGGCTGAGATGGGAAAGAAAAGCACAGAGAGGGAAGACAAGCAAGCCTCAAGACGAGTGTGGCTTCTTCTGTCACTTCTGAGCCTGACCTATTACAACACGACAGAATCAAGGACAACTATTTGAAAATTCAAGGCTGAATTCAAGTCTTTCATTGGTGAGTCACAGTTTTCCTACAAACTCACTGGGGGGCCCTTGGTCAAGCAACCTCCCCTCCCTAGGCCTCTCTTTCATAAAAGGAGGGAATTAAACTAGATATGTGTCCTCATCAGGCTGACCTGCAGGAGCTTTTTACCAAAAGTGCTCTATCTCCTCCATCCAGAGGTTCTGATTCACTTGATCTGGGTGTGGGACAAGGACATCAGGATGCCAGGGTTGAGGCCCTCTGGACCACATAAGTGCTGAGTCAGGGACCCTGAGATCAAGTCTTCCCAGCTCTCTTGCCTGGCCCTGGCAGTGTCTGCAAATACAAAGGAGGGAGATGGGCTTTAACTTCAAAGAAAAGCTCCCTACTGCATCAGCAGTACATTCTGACTACATGTTAACGTGGGTTGAAGGTAGATTTTCTATTTTCTCACTCACAGGCTGGCTAAAACACATTTCAAGCTTCATTTTTGGGGGAACATAAATTGGGCTTCAACAGGGGGTGTCAAATTGGGGTAAAATTCTTGCACATCTTGGGGAAACCAAATAATCTTGTGTTTTCTCTTCACATAACTATGAAATCCCTAAGCCACAACAGCAAATCTCAACATGCTTGATATTAAGCCCAGTTCTCTCATAAAAGTTTCTGGAGATAATGAAACTCATCTATTGGGTTCTTAGCTTTAAACCTGAGAAAGCTTAAAAAGAGGGAAGATTGGCTTTGACGTCTTGCCTCTGGGTCTCCCTCATGTGTAGCTAAAAGAGTAGTTCAGGAAATATCCACCAGGGGTCAGCA